AAAAAAAAAATTTATCCGGGTATGGTGGCACTTGTCTGTAATCCCAGCTACTCTGGAGGCTGAAGCAGGAGAATCACTTGAATCCGGGAGACAGAGGCTGCAGTGAGCCGAGATCCTGCCACTGCACTCCCGCCTGGCGACAGAGTGAGACTCCATCTCAAAAACAAGCAAACAAACAAAAACCTTCTAACCAAGAAAGTTACAGCTTTCCAAAAACAGATAAAGAATTTTGAAACTATAATATTCAGCATCCCATACTATTAACAAGGAGATAAACAGAAAAAGGAAAGCAAAAAATGGTAGAAAAGCTTTGTAAGTTTTTATTTGTCCTTGGCTCAATCCCTCCCCACATCAGAGCCAATCTTGAAGCAGACCCAAAGTTTTCATTGTGGATCCCCAGAGAGAGCAAATCAGGTCTTATTTGCAAATTATTGCCTTTGTATTTTCTAATTGGTATGGGGATTATCCAAAGGTGTGAAATGAGGCTCTCTTTTCTACTTCATCAATGATGGAGCTCAATCAGGGTCAAACATGACAAGAACTACTTCAAAACATTGCAAAATACACAAAAAGCCTGCAACCACCTGGAACAACAGATTATAATTAAGACATACAGCAGACCTACTAAATCTTGGGAAGAAAAGCTGGAGATAAAATTTCCTTCAGAAATTAGGGTACTGAAAAGCACCCAGATGTATTAGGGAATGCTTTTCATATACCTACCTGATCTAATAGATACAAATTTGTTTGAAATAATACTAGTAATGTATTGGGTAGTTACAGCTTCCAACAGGGCAAATGAATGACAGTGATGTTATATGGAATGGGAGGAAGGAATTTGGAACAGTAAGTAATACTAATACTACTTCCAAAGCCACTATAGCATTATTTGAAACTGAAGGTCCATTCACTGCAAATGGTATACTACAAACTCTAGAGAAGTCACTTAATAAAATTTAAGAAACAGCCCAGCACAGTGGCTCATGCCTGTAATCCCAACACTTTGGGAGGCAGAGGCGGGTGGGTCATGAGGTCAGGAGATCAAGACCACCCTGGTTAACACGGTGAAACTCCATTTCCACTAAAAATACAAAAAATTAGCCGGGCATGGTGGTGGGTACCTATAGTCCCAGCTACTCAGAAGGTTGAGGCAGGAGACTCACTTGAACCCAGGAGGCAGAGGCTGCAGTGAGCCAAGATCACCTCACTGCACTCCAGCCTGGGCAACAGAGCGAGACTTCATCTAAAAAAAAAAAATTAAGAAACAAGTAGACTGGCCGGGCGCGGTGGCTCAAGCCTGTAATCCCAGCACTTTGGGAGGCCGAGGCGGGTGGATCACGAGGTCAAGAGATCGAGACGATCCTGGTCAACATGGTGAAACCCCGTCTCTACTAAAAATACAAAAAATCAGCTGGGCATGGTGGCGCGTGCCTGTAATCCCAGCTACTCAGGAGGCTGAGGCAGGAGAATTGCCTGAACCCAGGAGGCGGAGGTTGCGGTGAGCCGAGATCGCGCCATTGCACTCCAGCCTGGGCAACAAGAGCGAAACTCCATCTCAAAAAATAAAAAAAATAAATAAATAAAAAAATAAAAAAAAAGAAACAAGTAGACTTACTATACTAATAGAAGCAAGCAAATAGAATCATATAGAATGTTCAGTTAAAATGAAAGCAGAAAAAGTGATGTTGAAAAAACAGTCAAGTATTAGAATTGAAAACAGTAACATTTATTGTTATTAATCCAATTATGTTAACACCACTTCAAATGTGTATTATCTATATATACCAGTTAAAAAGACACGGCCTGTCTGAATAGAAAAAAAAAACAAGGCTGGCCGGGCACTAACTCATGCCTGTTATCCCAGAACTTTGGTATGCTGAGGTGGGTACATGGCTTGAGGACAGGAATTCAAGACCAGCTTGGCCGTCTCTACTAAAAATAGAAAAAAATAAAAAAATAAAAATAAAAAAGCCAGGCATGGTGGCACATCCTGTAATCTTAGCTACTCAGGAGGCTGAAGCATGAGAATCCCTTGAACCTGGGAGGTAGAGGCTGCAGTGAGCTGAGCTTGTGCCACTGTACTCCAGCCTGGGAAACAGAGCAAGTCTCTGTCTCAAAAAAAAAAAAAAAACAACAAATAAAACAAGGCTCAGCAATGTGTACATGAAAACCATTTTAAACTGAAAGACACAAATACATTAAATATAAAGGTATGGAGGAATAAATGCCATTCTAGCCCTAATCAAAAGAAATATGGAATAGCTATTTTAAATCACATAAGGCCAGGCTCGGTGGCTCACGCCTGTAACTGCACTCCAGCCTGGGTAAGAGACCCAGGGTCCCTCCCTTTGGGAGGGTGAGGCAGGTGGGTCATCTGAGGTTAGGAGTTCACGACCAGCTTGGCCAACATAGTGAAACCCCATCTCTACTGCAAATACATAAATTAGCCGGGTGTGGTGGTGGGTGCCTTGTAGTCCCAGCTACTCAAGAGGCTAAGGCAGAATTGCTTGAACCCCGGAGGCAGAGGTTGCAGTGAGCCTAGATCATGCCATTACACTCCAGCCTGGGCAACAAGAGCAGAACTCT